TTTGTTCCTTCAGGATACTGGAGCCCATGTGTACCATTGGTTTGAATCCTAGGTGGATCCTCCACATCCACCAACCCTGTTAAAGCTCCGGACATTCGCTTTTCGTCCTCTTACATTTGTGAACAACACCCCCGCCACGAGAAGGCAGTGAGTAGGACATTCCTGACAGAGGCTATATGTTCGCGCGGCCATGTGAAAGCATTTCGAGAGCGAGAGCGGACTCATCCCACTCTCGGCCGTACCAAAGCATTTGGGGGCGATTTGGAGACTTATCCGATCTATGTGCATGGATTCCAGTGAATATCAATGTTCACGTTTAGATTGTAACAAAGTAGTTATCGTTTCAATCGGGAACGCGTTATCCACTAAGCTATTGAATTCACATATTCATTGACTTGTTCAAAGAGGTTTGAAGAAATTCTTACTAAGCGTTTGTAATTTTTTTATGGCTGATATTAAAGTCTCAGTGTGAACGTACACACTTAATGCAGAGACATACGAGAGTTGGCGAGTGTTATGTGAAAGTATTGCTGCCTTATTTCACGAGTGACGCCATTTATACTGCTAGGACTTGGAAATATTCATGATATGATCAGATATCTAGTCCGTTTATTGAAGTGTAACGTCGAAGAAATTAAATGAAGCTAATGAACAGTATATTTTTGCTAGTTAATTTAAGTTTAAGGGACCTAGAAAAAATATGTGGAACAGAGTTACCATAATAAACAGCCCAAAATTCTCTCTTACAATATTTCATTCCAAAAGGCAGAATATAATTTGAAGGAACACTGAGTAACTTCTAATTAATAATGTTTTAACTATCTGAATTATTTCTGCCAATCAGCATTGATCGGCTTGATAAATATGCATCTGAACAACAAATAAAAGTTTTGTTCTCGAAAATATGACATTAAATATTCTATTCTTATCGAAATACTTCGATTGCTTGACAATACAGTGAATGTGATTGTAGTCGGCCTGCTTGAATATAACTGGGCTACCTGTTCCTTCCATTTAGATATATCTAAATAAGCGGCGTTTATGAGAAGTGAACGACATTTCGCTGGAGAAGTTACAAAACAGATATTGTGTAACGGAAAGAAACTTGTTGAAGTGCTACGTACAAAGAATTCTATATTGTCCTCAAAATGTTAGATTGAATAAAGTCATTCATTATAATAACAATAATTAATATAATAATATTGTTATCCGACTATTTATTGAAAAACCAAATGGGTAAGTACGTGTGTTGATACTACTCAATGTATTTGTTAAACCCATATAAACTTTAAGAACAAACAAAAATGATAATTGAAACTTACTCATTTGGTTTACCATTATTTATCAATATGGAAGCTTTTGGAGCGATATAACATAATTCAACAGAATAATAATCTTCAATTGGTAGATAACTAGTATTCAATGTAAATAAACTCCATTCTTTTCTTATCACATTACTATACAAATTTAATTGAGAATCTTTTAAACGGCAGTAACATGTTTTTCTAAGACAATCTCCATTTGGAGCGATGCGGTTTCTTTGCATAAACAAAGAAGGGAATCAGTAAAGGTCAACCATTAAGGAAAGAAACATCTCTCTATACCTCATAGATTTCTGTCAATGAAGCAAAAGCCTGAAATTTAAGAAGCTGATGCATCAAGAACCGCTCGAGCTAGTCCACGTATGAATGTCATTTTGTGCTACTACCACACAATCATATGCTAAAGAGATTACTTTCAATCTCATTTTTCAGGTACCTTTATAAGCATCCTTTCAAAATGCCGGAATGAGGTTTGTAAGAAACGCACACACACCTCTACAACCACGAAAAAAATGAAATCTAGCGCGAATGGTAACCAACTAATAAGAAAACAGAATTCTAAAATAATAGAGAATCAAGAATAACGCCATTCAATATGCTTCAGTTTGATTAGTCGACTGACATTAGATTGGTGTTGACATAGGGAATCGGAAGCAGTATTTCAAACAATATAGAGAATTTAAGCAACAAAATATAAGATCACAGTTCAAGCTACTCATAAAAAATGGCTCAGTAGCTATTGGCGGCCTGTTTAAACATCTAAGCTACCTGTTCCTATAATCTGGATATTTCAACAAGTTATCTAATTTTGTTTGTTTTAATACACGCGTACAGTCTAAGAATCATTAGCTGTATATATCTGGTTTCCAAGTTAAGTGATCATTTCGGGACTGGAACCCCAGTGTCATTGGATTTAAACACTATCCACCTTTGCTTAAAAATGCTAATGGCTTAATGACAATATCTAAGCAAATCACATAAGATGCACATTTCCCAATAGAGACTGATCGATTGCAGTTCTAAACAGCAATGCGAAGATGCAAGCAAACAAGCAAACATGGGAATTCAAACTTCATCCCATTGCACAAGCAAGTGGCTATCAGGACTCAGAAGCTAAGTGGATAATGTGATAGCGATTGAAGCTAACGAAACAGGGTTTCAGTCCCGAAGTGAACATCAACTCTGTGATGCATGTGCATACGGCTGACGAGTCACAATTAGAACGAAACGTGCGTCTTGATTCCACTGCTAGCAATTATCTATCTTTGTTTAAAATTTATATTTGATAAATTGAGTTAATGGAATGCCAACCGATCGACAAAATGCAATGACGGGTTATGACCGTTACAGCTACCCATGAGAATGAATTATTTATTCGCAACATTGAATACATACGCAGTCGACAAATCAATGAACAATTGTCAACTAAACTACTGATCAACAAAATAAGGTTATAGTCACTTGTGAAGAAATCTTAATAACTCAATTCTAATCGACATGATTACTTATGATATTGTCAAGAAAGTCAATGAAATCTCTATGAATAAACCATAGAAGTTTAGAGAACAATTTACACCGTCAAAATTGACATTATCTATAATTTGATTAACTAACTGAGACACTTGTTTTAAATAGAAAATGAACCAAGATAAAAGCGTGTTAAAACGTGGAAATTCTCATACAACACTCAATTATAAGCGTATTCATGGAATTTATGCTTTTCATAAGAAGAGAAAACAGACTACCTATTGTTTTTTTTATTGCTTCAAAATGCTTTATGTATTACTTACGCCTATTATTCCTAGTTGAGTAGCTTAGGCCATCCACCAGCATTCTCCATCCAACCTTGTCCTGGGCAATCCTTTCCAGTTGTTATTCGTCCTTTTCATATCTGCTTCCATTTCCCGGCGTAATATGTTCTTCGGCCTCACAATTTTCCACTTCTTTTCAGGATTCCAAGTTGGACCTTGCTTTATGATGCAGTTTGTTGATTTCTTTAATGTATGCCCGATCCAATTCCAACGTCTTTTCTTAATTTCCTGGTCGGTTGGAAGCTGGTTTGTCCTCTCACATAGAAGACTGTTACTGATGGTATCCAGGCAGTGAATGCTGATTATTTTACTTGCACCTTCTTGACGATGGTTGTAGTAGTTCTCCACGTTTCAGCTCCGTACAGTAGAGCTGTCTTGACGTTCGTATTGAAGATTCTCACATTGAAATTAGTTGAAAGTTGTTTTGAGTTCCATATATTTTTCGATTGTAGGAATGTGGTCCTTGCTTTGTCAATCCTCGCCTTTGCGTCTGTATCAGATCCTCCTTGTTCATCATTGATGTCTCTCAGGTACGTGAATATTTCTACATCTATCAGAGTTTCTCCATCAAGTGTGATTAACTTGGCGTTCTCCGTGTGGCACTGGAGAATCTTGCTTTCTCCCTTGTGTATGTTGAGGCTTATTGATATATACCTAATGAAATTGATTATCGGACATAGTTTTCAAATATTTCGTTTGCTGTTTAGGTTAACTTTCTTTTGATTTAAGTGTTGAGTGTAATTTAGTAGTTGTCAAATCAATGATGAATGGTTGTTTTGTTTTGAAAAGAAAACATCTCATTGTTAGACTTACATTGACTTAATAATTAATTTAAGGTACTTTAACACTAGAAAGCTTTTTTTTCTTGCAACTGGATTTCCCATTAGTTACTTAATTCAGTGGGTTGGGAGTACTGAGATTGTAGGAATTTATAGTTTACACTAAGGATCAACTTTAGTTCGATAACCATAGAAAGCAAAGAAGCATCGAACTGTCTTTTCACCATAGTACTTATCCCTTCAAGAACACTTATCCATTATGTCAGCAGGAATTGAACCCACGACATTCATACGTTAGACCCAATTGACTTCCTTTCTTAACTTATGTAAAAGTTTCTCTTTCGTTTTAGTCAGATGTAGATATAGCTCAATTTGACGTAAATTCCTACTTCTATCACAGTATTACATGAATAAAAAGAGATGTAAATGACTTCTATAGATTATCAAACACTATAACCTTATTAACTTCAGATCGTGATTCTATTGAAGCTAGACCACCATGGTAAACCTGGAAGCATTGGACGACCGTTTCGTCCTATCGTGAGGCTCTTCAACACGTTTTCCATCGTGGTCTAACTTTAATTGTCTCTTGATCTCAACTATAACCTTATTGCGTAACAGTCAATTCGTCAACTTACTAAGATAATTAGATTGTTCACTTATCTAGATCTTTTTACCAAACAGATTTCATGTGATCAAACTTATTGACCAACTGATTGGATAAATAGTCTAACAAATGAAATATTTATAGAAAACAAAATATGTTATCACCTAATCATGTAATATGGGATTAATTATTGCATAAAAAAATCAATCTCAGTGAACAACCAATCGTAATGTACTTTTTGCTCAACTTATCCAATATCATTGAAACTTTTAAATGGATAATAGAATATATTGAAAAGAAATAATCTTAATTGATTCCTTTGATATCTCGCAAAACAGAAGGCTATAACTGGTCCATCCAGGATGATGATAAAAAATCTGTGGAAACTCTTCATACTAACAAAAATCACTTGCTCATTAGTGATTAATATTGTGAGATGATTACAAAAGTTCTAATCAGAAACCGTAACTATTAAAATTAAATGTTCAGTAGTTACTCACTTATGGGATTCGGCGATAGTCTCATTATGTGGCAAATTAATTCAAGTATGAAATGTAAAGCCTTGGAAGTTAAACGCTATTCGCGAAATCTGAAATTCCAAAGTTGAAACCCTAGTTATATACCGTGCTGCGTTAGATTGGGAGTTTTTAGATAAGATATGAAAGTAAACGATAATTTGGAAATTCCTGATCTGGTGGAGCTCATATAATGAATACAGCTTGAGAATGTCACAAAACATTTAGAACAAGTGTTTACCGTAATCCAGTTGACCACACTCACATAGACTAAGTCGGAAATTGTTACTCAAACAAAACTAACAATCAATTTGTAAATTGATGCTACAGCTTGATTCAACCACTGTCAACTATGCACCAGTTTACTCAAATTCAACATAACCTCACACATTGAGATAGTTGGTCACACATGTTTCAACAACCACAAATGATCGACATTTACTAACTCATTAACAGATTCACCACCTTACACAGCACCTGTTTTTGACCTCACTATTGTTCACTTAATCATCCCAACATACTTAAGCATTACTTCGAAGGCATCTGACATCAAACACTGATAAGTCTGAAGCATAGTCCGGTTAGCTTAACATTCAGTATAAGTGAAGTGTTTGACATGGTCAACTGTTTTACTTTTGATTATAATTCCAGGCTTTGACGTAGACGTCCTAGAGTTTTATTTTGAATTTTAGACGGCAAGAAACGCATTTCAATTATCCTTTCATTGTTATTCGAGGCAACCAGAATATTGAAGATCATTACAACTACAGTCTTATTATAAAATTATAAAAATATTTCATGACAGCACCCGAGAATCAAACCGAAAACATCCAATTTTATTCCCAAAATTCTAATCTCTAGACCACTGAGCCAAAATCCAAAGATGTTGATGTATGACTGCAATTAATTCACAATATTGCATGACTGCCTTGCAGTATCTAAAGTAGATACCTGCCACATACTTGATATGATTAAACTAAACTGTTCACAGATTCTCAGTGGAACTCCATGTTATATTCCGACGACAATTATGAATGGTAACTGTTATAATATATTACTGGGATAATACGATACATATATTTTTATTGTATAATTGTTAAGTAACTAGATCATTTTTATTCGTGTTTCTCTTTTTATAAGCTTTATTTTGACCCATGAACTATTTTTATACGGTTTACCATTCTTAAGTTAAGCCCAGTCTATTAATTACAGTCTCACACATTCACAGCCACATGTGGTTGAATCTTTTACAGATGTTATTTTCTATTTTATGGTACGATATGGTCTGTTTGGTTTGTATATAAAAGCAGTATGTTTGAAATACATGATTCATATTGAGGAGGCTTTTATTGATGTTCTGTACTTAACAGGCGGCGCTAGGCAGGAATAAGGACTGATAGGGACTTTGGACTGCTCATACGGGTTTCATGCGTCACCATTATGGTATACTTTATATCGAAGTTTTACGAATATTGAAAGGCCGTTTAGCTTTCAATCATTAGATCTCATTTTTGAACTCAATTCCCGTCTAATTTCATTTGCGTAACTGGCTAAGATCACATGTTCACACATTTAAAGTGTGACTTGAGCCTAAAAATGTTAATATATATCTGCTATATGATAAGGTTCAGAGCTAACCCTATTTTAGATCGATATTCTTTCATCAATTCAGTATGACTTTCGTTTAATATGACTGGTTGGAATGTTCATTCAGTGTGACATTTATATCCTTTGTATCGATTTAGGTGAACTACATTCAATATGTTCTTGCTGTAACTATATGCATTTTCTCTTACACGTGATATTATTAGGTATGTATCAAAATCAGTATTTAAATGATTGTGTTCACTCCTAAAGTCATCACGTTATCCAACCAAGTACTAATTCCGTATAGCTACTGGCTTTTCCAATGAAGTTTTAGTTCCAGGATGAACTTCGGTGTCCATCACTTACAGGAAACTTGTAAAATTATAGAAATCTGTGTACTGCATTACAAATGATCTATGATCAGACTATAATGTTGATAAAGAATAAAATTTTTTGATAGCTAACTGAGATAGTTTTAATGATGGAAATGAAAATGAAACAAATCTCCTAGTACAGAAGGGAAGTTTAAAAAAGATATTTCCAAAATATCAGTTCATGTACATGTTGAACAGATGATGATGGAACTATCTCAATCGAATTACATGAAAAGCATATCATTCTAAAAGGAAAATAGAGTTGCCATAGGCAAATTCATACATCAATTAAAATTTGGCGTTTCTCAAATTTTCTCAAACACCTTCATGGTGTATGCTAGTTACATGGGCAGATATAAGTAGTATATATCAGAAATTAGAAGTAGGGTTCTTACTGACAACAGAGAAAATTAAGGAAAGTGAAGAAAGATGAAAACAGTGAAGTTAGCAACTGAAGGAGAAGAATGATAAAGTTTGGAAGAGACTATTCAAGGAATTTATACAAATTGTGTATTCAACCTATAACTTACACATTTTTCTTATGTAGGGTGTAATTTTGCACAATGCAGTCAATTGTCTTACTCTAACCAAATTTTTATGATATAGTTTTATTTATCTTGATCGTATTTACTAAATATTACTTTTTATGAATATATTGATCAGTTCAGAGAAGTAACAGTTTGGATACAAAACATCAAACTAATGAATCAGTTGACGAAGAAGATGACAATGATCGAATTGAAGCTGAAAAATCAAAAAAGAAACGTGCTTTTATTCGTGATGAAAATGGAGTTTGTAGACCAGGTGAATTAGATGAAGATACAAATATGAGTAAAAATCATGAATCACGAACAACTGTAGTAGATCGTACAGCTGCAGAACGAATTTCATGTCGTTTGGTTCAACAGCGTAGTTTAGATGTAAGTAAAATAACATGATTGATTGCCTCATTTTGAGGTACTTATCAGTGTTATCATCATAATAGAACAGATTCAGTCAGATGCATAAAGGGTGGTCATTTTCAAGCAACAATTTACTTAGTTAGTTATCGAAATGGGAAAAGGAACATTTTAATGTTTCATTCTTTAACATCATTGACTAAGGTGACATAGAGCTCTGTGGGATTACTTTACGAATTTTACCTACATTGTTGAGGCAATATACTTTAAATGAACTAGACATTAGAAATTTAATGATACCAGAAATTTTAGCCGTTCGTCAATTCAAGCGTAAAGTTCATTTTGAAAAACAATAACTGAAATGTCTAATTTCTCATTTGTTTTTGCTGTTTTAACCGTTTTTCTAATTCTCCCTTTGAATAATGAGTAGTCATTATCATCTGTAGGCAGAGATGAGTAATTATTTGCAGTGGAATTTAAGGCGCAGGTTTCGTCCTACTTGGGACTGGTCATATGAATCTACTCAAAGCCGGTACAGTCCACTTCACACGTCATCGCATTATTCACTGAGCTACTGAGTTCAGATGTGAAGTGGAGTTCATTTAGTATTGGTTGTTTGAATCTACACATTGATATTGAGAATTTCATTTGATCACCTTTGTCCACAAATGTTTGTGAAATAACGACATTCATCAAATTATTCCGATCAATTGCAATCCTAAACATCAATTGAAGGATACAAATAATCAATACAAGATGAACGAATTCTATCAGTTTATAATAGTTTCATCCTTGTTTCAATGCTTCCCACATCATATAAATCCTGACTAAATGTTTGTTCAACGACTATTGAGCTCCCAATCTTAGTGTACGTAGTTGAATGAATAAAGAATCTATATTATGCTTAAATAAATGTAAGTTCAATTTATTTACTCAGTATACAAACTGAGATCACAAACATTCTACAAAACTACGTACAACTCATCGTCAATTTTATTCCATCCGATAACAGTTTCTCTTATATTTAACGAAACATTTATCCTGTTTCGGCTATCACTGATAAAAGCATCCATGAAAATTGTGACGAAAAGCGGTGTTCAGTTAACTTGTCTTCTTGTTTTCTATCTTCAGCATCTTTCACAGAAAAGAAAAGCAAATTGTAGAACAGTAAGCTTTAAGTAAGAGAATTTGTGATGATAAACTTGATGACGTACACTGCTAGGGCTGCCCACCAGAGACCTACAACCAACTCTGTCTTCAGCTCTCCTTTCCAATTGTTTCCAATTGCAATTCATTCTTTTGATGTATGCCTTCAATAGTTCATCACTGAACAGTATTGTTACAAGTTAGATTCTTATCATGTTCTGTTCTAGTAAACAGTAGTGTTTTTATGCACACAAAAGGGGTATACTTTAGATCATTTCAAATGATTGAGATTTATTAAGCACGTGAGCATTGTTGATCATGTGTGACCGAATGGAACAAGGTATTGTTTTTCACTTATTCTTTTCAGATGAGACTGGAAGACACTCAGTTAGGTAGTCTAATTTAGGTTTCTTCAAAAGACAAACTAAATTATTTGTTACACATCGAGGTTGACACACATTAAGTAAATTATTGTTTTTGTATCTGGACACCCGTGAACGACTGAAAACTGTTGTTTAGCTACGTTAATTCTTCTGCTCACTGTCCTCTTTTGCATATCAATGCTAATTAGTTCATTTACATTCTGTTTTTAATCACTACAGTTTGGATTGTATCGTAAACTGAATAATTTCAACATTGATTCAAAGAGCAGTTCTACTCAATCTGGTAGTGGAATTTCGGAGAATGATGATAATTCCAATATGATAATAAAGAATACCATAAACACTATGATGATAATGACAATAATGATGGCGGTGATATTCAACTTGAAGAATCACTCCGCAATGTAGATATGGAACATAAAGAAAAACAAGAAGAAGACAATAATACGATTCAAAATGTTGAATTTTACACAAATCGTAAAATTAAAGAACTTGGCAAAGAATTCACATTAAAAGATATTTTGGGTCATCGTGTACCAGAACTAGAAATTGACAATATAAAGGATGATGAAGATATGGGACATAATGAATGAAGGATATAAGCCACCCCCTTCACACATACACACACGCATAGTCATTTGGCAACTAGTATGATATCATCCAAAGAGAAGAAGCATTTCCATAGAAAGAAAATTTAACCCATTTCAACAATTTACTTCTAAAGTGAACGCATTTACATTGTTCAATTTTTCTCTTTCTCTTTTTTAATTGTATTTGCTATGTAAATTCACAAACTACTAATTCCTCTTAGATGATACTTTTTATGGAAGTACAACCACATAGACAGCGAGCGAGAGAGAGCGAGCGAGAGAAAAAGAATAAATTATCATCACTGAATTGAATGATGAAATAGCTATCCATCAAGTTTTTCTCTCTTCTTTTCATACTTATTATTGTTGTGATTTGGTAGTTTGTCTCCTGTTTTCTTCTGGGTTCTTTTTTTCGCCTACTTCGAATTATTGGTAGTTCATTGAATAGATCCAAAAGGTCTGCTTCTATTTGAATTTCTAGCATTTAACTAAAGAGATGTGATTGTTAGGATACGTTTGTCTGGATATTTTCTTAATTGAATGTGGTCAATAAAACAAAACAAAACATGATGATCATTGAAATAGTAACTGATTCATTTAGTTAAGTATTTGTATTTGAGTTTGTATACATAATGTGAAAAAATAATGCGTTGATTTGTACAATAGATCTAATATTGTCTTGTTTTCTTACATATTTAATTGCTTCTAATACTCCTGGAGTTCTAATGAGAAACCGTGATCAGTTCAGTGTGGTCGGTGTTGTATAGAAAACAGTTAACCATAACAAGCAATGGATGAAGAGTTGTACAAGATGATGGATGAATTGAAGTTAGACAATAACACTGTTGGATTCCGGTTGACTGATGTAGAGATTAAGCTTCGAACATGTACTGAAGGTCCTGGAATCAAGTCTCGTGTACGGGATTGTGAATGTATACTGTTGACGAGTCAAATACCAGGATGAAATGAATGTCCATTGCTTCTGTGTCTTCAATGGTGGCCTAACTTAGATCGTCTTGTGATTCCAACTGCGAAAATACTTTGCGTTTTATAGTCAAGTGTTACAATAAAGGTATTCACTGAAGAAATCTTGAATAGTTATTTATTTATGGTTGTTGAATTTTACATTCAGTTAGTTTTAAATCCTCGAAACATGACTTTCTTTTAAAGGGATGTGTAATTCTATTTAGATAGTCTACTGTCAATCTAGTTTCTTAATCATCTGCAATCATTTTGATATGTACTGCTATTTCCTTATACTATCTATTTAAGTTGATTTGTTGAGTTACTGCAACAGGCTATTTGGTTTTAAATCCATTGAGACTCCATCTCTTTTTTAGAGCATCAATACATTTTAGTATACTTGTATGAAGGGTGTCAATAAGTTGACTAATACATCCATACTATATAGTGTGTTACTGATGTCGACAGATATAAGTACAATAATAATAATAATAATAATAATAATAATAATAATATATATATATATATATATATATATATTCTGAAAATAATATTTACAGAATTCACACCAGTTTACAGGCATGATCAGATTGTTATAAAAATCAATATTTAATGTAGAGAGCAAACATGAAATATAAGAAAGTTCTATGTTTGCTGGTTTGCTAATTGATAAATAGTTTATATATGGCAGGCCAATGCAGCACCAGGGGACTTGTCATTTTTTCTTAAGTAGATAGCCTGATGTTCTGTAAGGTTATTTCTAGTGCCAAAGCGAGTTATTGATAATTATCTACAACTAGAGAAAGTAAGATTAAAGCAAAGAGCACGGAACAACAAAACAATGATAGCAAGTAAGAGGTTAAACATTTAAAGTTCCTATAATCTCACTTGTGGAGTAAGATACACTTTCAGGCGCTAGAGCATTTAATGCATTTTCAGAGGAGCAAAAGGCATTAATTGAGCGAACAAACAATGGGAGAGAGTTTAACATACGGATAGTTTGAGGCAAATTATTCCATAGCCTAGAAAACTTACAGGTAAAGTAATTCATATAGAGAGAAGATCTAGAATATGTTTGTTTGGCTAAAGACAAGGAGTTACGAATGTCGTAATGTGAGGCTTTAGCGTATTGAATCGCCTGGCTGGATGTGAAGGAGACTTTGTCAAATATTTTGAAAAAGAAGATAAGGTTAAATTTGATTCTCCTCTTCAATAAAGGGTCAAGCCCTAGTTTACTACACCTCAAATTATATGCCAAGACACTATCAGTTCCAAGAGTATGAAGTGTAAATCGTCTCTGTACTGATTCCAGTTTTAATTTATCCTTTATGCGCGTGCTACTAAGGAGAAACGTGCAGTATTCGAGGAGTGGTCGATCAAAGACTTTGTACATTAGAATACGAGATTCGCTGTTATGAAGGTTTCGAGTTATGTAATCTATAAGGCGTTGAGACTTGGACGTTTGTTTCATTATCTGTTCAATAAACGACAAGTCGTCGGAGTAACTAAGTCCTAGATCTACTACTGTGTGTAACCTAGATAACACTTCACCATTTATGGTAAGATCGAGGTTGAGTGATGTATCACCGAAACATAACCAACCACATTTAGCTGCATTAAGCTCCAGTTGCCATTTTGAGCACCACTGTGCTGCATTGTTAAGCTCCGAGCTGATGCAATTTTGAATATTGCTCAGCTCATGTGGAGAAATTGAGCACACCACCTTAAAATCGTCTGCATACAAAAGAGACTTACCCACACTAAAACACTCACAAATAACATCAATGAAAACTAAAAAGAGCAAAGGACCTAAGACACTACCCTGAATTATCCCACTACTAACAGAGACGGCATTCGACAATGAAGAGTTGATTTTAACTATTTGATGTCGGTTGCTGAGGAAGGAATCAAACCAGGCTAGTCACGGGTTTTGGACACCATAAGATGCTAGTTTACC